GAAGGTAGGACGGTCCTCCGCCCGAGGATCGGGGGCCAGGAGTCGCCGCGGCCCAGGCGCCGCAGGGCCCGAGCGTGGGGTGTGTGTGGGGGGGCAGCACTTGAGAGCCGTCGGTGGCCATCCTGGGGGAGGAGAAGGGACCCCCTCGGACGCGCGCGTCCCGGGAAAGGCAGAGGCTGCGGCCCGGCGGGGGCGAGGGAGGCGGCTCTGCCCCTCAGCTGTCCGCCGTCACGGGAACTGCGGGAGACGGGGTCTGGCGGGAGGGGCCCCAAGAGCCGGGGCGGGGCCGCAATCCCCCGCGCTCGGGAGAGGGGCCGGGCGACGCGCGGACGGCATCGGGGAGGGCGCAGACCGCGGGGCAGAGCGGGGCGGACGGGGATCTGGGCTGAAGAGCGCGTCCCAAGGCTGGTCGGGGTTGGAGGGCTGGGGCGCCCACACCGGGAGCTGCTAGGGAGCCCTCGGGAAAAATCGCCAGCGCGGGAAGCTCAGGTTGCGGGCCCGGCGACCGACGGTGCCGGGGCGCCCTCTGGCGGAGACCCGCAGCTCTGGCGGCGGAGAGTCGGGCTTGGCTGAGCTGTGCGAAGGGAGCAAAGGCCCATCTCACCCGCCAGGCGAGGGCGGATTCCGGGCCGGGAAGGGTCATCTCCTGCCCACTGTCCTCACGGGGGGCATCGTGGACTCCTCACCGCTTATCCCAAATCTTCAGTCCGGGTCCCCCGACCAGAAACCCAGAGGCACAGAGGGCTGAGCCCCTGAGAGCCCTGGAGAGGGAAGGGCCCGGCTCCAGGCGTCCCCGCCGTCCCAGACTCCTCGCCCAGCCGCGGTGCCTCCCCATTCCTCCTGGGGTGAACAGCCCTGAGCAACCAGCTTTGGACAAGTTAATTTTCTCTGCTGAGCAAACATTTCCATCTATATTTTGGAGCTTGCGTTCTTTATATTGCCTTCTTACCTTTTAAATATTTTCCATTTTAAAACTAAAAGAACTTGATTTAAGTTCTGTTGCTTCTGTCATATTTTCTGGCCTG